AGAGAGAGAGAGAGAGAGAGAGAGAGAGAGAGAGACGGAATCCTACTACAGTAGTGAAGACCAAAACACGGGTTGAACAGTGAAAAACGAGTCTTCCTCCGATGCATCTGGTCGGTCAAGGGCTTACATTACATGGTGATGATGAGACGCCGAGCTACCAAAGAGCAGTCTAGAATATTACGGCCGTAACCCAAGGATAATAAATCCCCAGAGCCAACTGCACGGAAACTGAGACTACGTGTACGTACACTAATGAGCGATAAAACTTTAAGGTGTACCCGGATCTATCTGCCGCAAGGAGAGTAGTGTCGGACAGGGTGTGCAACTGAACATTTCGAAAGTTCAAAAATGCCGTAGTCTTGTACTGTGCGCATGATTGTTGAAATCCAAGCGGCTGCACCGCCGAATCTGCTAGGAACATTATTGTTTCGCCCTCTACGGGAAGTCACTATTATTGTGTCGATCCAATGAATCGCACAAGGGTTCGACTCAGTGGCACCGGGCAAGAAGCACTAGTTTTCAGCGATGCCGAGGCATGACAAGCGACACAGCGAGCTGCTCACGCCTGAGAGTGGTGCGACAAAACGCAGTTGCCGCAGTGCACGAATTGATCTGTTTCGGAGAACGGGCACCTAGCAGGCACCGAAGTCACTCAGATAATGGAATATCGATTTCGACAACGGCGGCATAAATGTCGAGAAGGGCAGGCATTTCCACGGCAAGCGTGCTCCTTCGTAATCTACAGCGAAAATGCCCAAAATAAATTGTTTCGTCGTATTAAAACTTCGTCGCCAGCGAAAGCGCATGATACCTACTCGAAGCTTGCATGCCGGCTGTGGCCCACTGCTGTCGATCTTCAATGAGAGTCGTCAAGGCCTACCGTACCAAACTTGGAAACCCAACGACAAGCGCCTGTTGATAAAGCGGTAGCTTCTGGGGAAAAGTAGTTGAATTGAAGAGACCCTTGTCAGGAGAGACTGGTCAGAAAGTGGAGTGAGCACGATGTGCAAGCCGTGTCCTCGATACCCTGCGAACTCCTGGAAACCAACGAACCAACGGACACGTTCCGGAACCGTTCCGGAGCACCAGCAACGTTCTACAGTATCTCAGTACCAGTCCTCGGACCATTGCGACTTCCTACACTCCACAAACTCTCGGGATGATTACCTGAACTAAGATACCATGCTCAGACTAGCGCAGCGTCCACAAGATTATTCCAACCACAAGGACCACGAACGTTCCTTATGTCGGTAGCTCAACAATCTACAGAGGATCGACATTGTTCCGCGTATTCAAATCGTCCAATCAGATATTCTACGCAACTCAGTCGATACATACTGCCTCTACCACGAACAGCGCCATCGCCCCATGCGCGAAGACCTCCAGCAACACCGGCCTGTAGAAAAAAACTGCAAACACCACCCTCGCATAACATTGCATCCACCGGGGTCGACCTCACGGTGCCCCCTCTGCTGTAGCTGGCACCGATACTTCAGCGCATGCCGCTTCCCTGAATCTTACCGGAAGCCAAGCACACTACCGCTGTGGCCGCCACGTAATTGTTGTCAGTCAAATCATCGTATGGTGTGGTAGATGCGCAGCCATTGGTACATGGTACAATGGTTCCCGTCACAGACCTCACGGAATTGTTACGCCGTCCATTACCACCTTCTTCATCACGAAACGGTTCAACCCTGCCGCCCATGCGAACCACGGTCCATTTCCAAAAGCCAATGGTATACACCAATGAATCCTATTCACGAAAATAAAGGCTTACACCTCCGCTTCATCGTCACTCGGAGCCCACCAAGAATCGCCACCACCAACCGAAACCTCCAACCCGAACTCGAGCCCTACCTCTTCACTCCCGTCCCCATGAACTTCTCTCCCCCCTCGCCCGCCATCCTCACGGCCGCCCTGGCCCCCCATCACCATCGCTAGAGACAGGTTGCGCCGCCCGTACCGCCGTTGCGCCGGCTTCCTCCTCCTCCTCCTCCTCCTCCTGCTCCTTCTCCTTCTCCTCCCCCGACGCATCAGACATGTCCACTGGCATCACTCCGTCCGCGCTGCCGACCCAACTCCCGGCGTTGCTCCATGCCGGGCTAGAAAACCCAGACCGGAGGCAGTGATACCGCGGCTCGCTGGAAGCGGTGCTGAAAAAGCCCCGCGCGATGTCACCACCGCCAACCCCGACGACTCCCGGAGCGATGAGCCCGCTGCCGCCGGCCATACCCACCTGGGTGGATTTCACCGGTTTGACGGGATCGCTACTGCCGTTCCACCAGGCGATGCTGAAGCTTCCTCCGGGAGGGCTCGTCATGCTTCGGGTCCGCGACGAGGGTGGTGACTGCGGTGGGCGACAAGACCTCTCGTTCGCATTCCCCCCACGTGCACGGCTGCGTCAGCGGCGGAACTGATATCCCCTCGCTCCTCCGTGCCCGCCTCCGAAGTCGGAAATACCGGGGCCGTCTTCGTCCGGAGATGTGAGCGATGCGTTGACTGTTGCCCGAATCCGGAGGAAGCCGTCGGCGGCACCGGTGCCGCTACGATCGCGGTTCTGTCGGTATCTAGCGCACGGAACCGTCGTTTCCGGACAGCTCCTGTTGCTTCAAGCTGATCGGGGCCTTCCTCGTCCCCCTTCTCCGCTTTGGTTGTAACCGCTTAGCGAGACGTCCAGCCGCTGCCGCTACCGCTACCACTACCGCCTCCGCCTTGACTGCTTGGGGTCGGGGCCTTGATCGTGAGCGCGGCCGATGTTGGCCTGTCGTCGCCATTAAGGCTGCCGTGGCGGCCGGTGCCAGCTGCTCCACAGCGAGTGCAGGATGACACGACGCCTGCAGCAATGGCAGAAGAATTTCCGGTCGTCTACGTCGTCTGTGCCGCGGGCAAACAGGAAACAGCGCGGTAAGCACAAATTGGGGGTGAAAAACAAAACCGAGCGCAGTACCGCAAGCGTCAGGCAATGGCAAATGTAGCGTAGAATAGCGGGCCGCTTGGGGCTAATGGGTGCGGCGATACGGCGGGAAGACGACCAACAACGAAACTGGTGTAACGCATACAAGCGAAAGGCAATCATAACAACGAGGACACACGAACATCTTGCACGACATTCAGACAGCCACTGGTCGCCGGAGGACATCGGCTTGTGGCCATAGATGGGTGCCAGAGCAATCCACCTGAAAATCACCACCTCGCTTACGAATGCCCACAATGTCTACCACTCATTAGGGGCTCTGAATGGCGAGGACTATGCACCTCTTCTCCCGAAGCACTTTCACAGGTTGCTCTTGCCCACCGTCATAGTCAACACTCGCGCGGGCAATATCGACCTCCACCCCGCGCAAAAACAAACCATTCGGTCATCGGTTGTTCTGCCCAACAAGGTCTCACTCTCAGTCTCCAGAAAGCCCCCGCCACTCTCCTCGCCGCCGTGGAATACTCCTGACAGAATCCTCGCACCGCACATGGACACACGCCAGCTTGGAGCGCGCTAATCTACACGGATTGTTGCAGTTCGCGACAACAGTCAAGGAAAGAAGCGGGCAGGGGGTGCCGCAAATTCCGATCAGTCAAGCGGGGGGAGGGGGGGGATTGGCGGCAAAATAGGCGGCAGAGGGGTGGAGGCGGGCACAGGAGGAGCTACTCCGCTCTTTGTGCTTGTTCTTCAAAGACCTCTTGTTCCTAGGCCTCCTTAAAGTTTCGACGATTGACCAAGACAAGATTTACCTGAAAGCACGATCGGCGGCCATCCGGTTGTTTTGAGTGCTTTCAAGTGAACTTCCGACTGCGAATGACCGATACATGCTCGACACTCTTCCTGCATACCTTCCGGCTCAACGCACGAAACTAATTTCAAGCCCATTCCCATCAACAACCGCACCAACGACAAGCAACCAAAACGACAGATTGAGGACCCTCCCTAGCAACGACTGCGACAGTGTGCGCCCCCTCCCCCCCCCCCCCCCCCCCCCCCCCCCCCCCCCCCCCCCCCCC